TCACGATCTGGTAATTAACCAGCTTAACCAATACTGAGGAATTATTAGGAACTGTCAGCTGTAATCTGGTAATTAACCAGCTTAACCAATACTGAGGAATTATTAGGAACTGTCAGCTGTAATCTGGTAATTAACCAGTTTAACCAATACTGAGAAATTAATAGAGAACACTCAGTCATAATCTGGTAATTAAGTAGTTTAACCAATGCTGAGGAATTAATAAGGAATTCTGTTAAAATCTGGTAATTAACCTGTTTAACCAATTTTACTGAGGAATTAATAAAGAACTCTATTACAATCTGGAAATTTCACCCAATTTAACCAATACTGAGGAATTAATAAATTCTCATTGAAAGTCTGGTATCTATTAACTAATTTAACCAACACTGAGGAACTAATAAGGAACTCTGTCATAATCTGATAATTTCATCCAATTTAACCAACATTGAGGAATTAGTAACAAACTCTCAGTGAATGTCTGGTAACTATTAACTAATCTAACCAATACTGACGAACTACAAGAATTAATAATCAGCTCTTAATAATAGGATATTTATTAATTTAGTTAGAAGAAAGATCAATAAGGAGTCCTCAGTAATGTCTTAAGTCTTAACTGTTAAGTCTTAACCAGTGCTGAAGAATTAATGACAAACTCATGAGTAACTTGATAATTTTAATCAATTAAACCAATGCTGAGGAATTAATAGGAAATATTTAGTAATAACACTGGAAATTATTGGCCAATTTAACAAATAACTGAGAAATTGAAAAGGAATATTCTATAACAACCTAGTAACGATTAACCAATTTACCAAATATTAAGAAATTAGTAAGGCATGCTCAGTAATAATTCTAGTAAGTGTTAACCAATTTATAAAATACTGAGGAAGTAATAAGGAAAAGTCAGTAATAACCTGGTAAGTGTTAATCAAATATTGAGCAATTGAAAAGGAACAATCAGAAATAGGGAGGTTTTACTGCTACTGAACAAATAATTCAGAATTACTCAGCATTTATTATGAATTAATGACCTAACAATTATTAATCAATAATTACCAAATACACAAATAACAAAGTAATTATCATTTACCTTGTGGTAGTAAAATGAGATCCAGTTGTTAGTCACTTTCACACATCTCTAACTCTGAAGGCTATGAGTTCAGATGGAGCCCAGCAATCCAAGCTAACATTGGCAGTGTCAGCGCTGAGGGAGTGCATACTGTCAGTGGGTCAATGCTGAGGGAGCAGGCGCTGTCGGAGGGTCAGCGCTGAGGGATGGTCACTG